CCCCCCCCCCCCCCTCCCCTCATTCTCTCATCTCTCCGTCTCCAATACCCTAGTTCGACCTCAGCTCTTCAATTCTAGGGTTTCTCTCTCATTTCCCCCAAATTCGACCTCAGCTGCAAGATCTAAGCCCAGTCAATGCCCCAATCCAGGGAAAATTGGGTCCTGACTGGTCACCATTACCCTCTTCTGAGATCAGCGGTTGTTGATCTCTAATTTGGTGCAGATTCGAGTCTTCTGGTATGTAAGCACTGTGAAAAAGCACTGTGATTATCTTCTAATTAGCTTGTTTTTAGTGTTTGCATTGGATCTGTATACTGTTGAAGGATGAATTGAACTAGGTTTTTGATACTATCATCTCCATTGCAACTAATTTTATGATAAATGAATCGGTAAAGGGCTGGACAATGAGAAGAAGGAAAAATGCTAGATTTTGTTCATTTCTGGGAAAAGCAATGAGTTTGCAAATGTTTACTCATGCTCTTCTTCGATCCTAATTTGAAATGGCCAGAAAAGAGCGAATGTTTACTCATGATGCTCTTTGATCTTTTATGAGTGTTGAATAATTGCATGCCTCTTAGTTTCTTACAATTAGTTTTGCAAGAAATGCATCCGTAAAAGATAAGGTGACCAGAAGAAAAAAACTGTTCCATTTTCTGCTTAAAACTATGAAAATGCAAATGTTTCATTGTGATGTTCTTCGGTCTTTGGGGGTTGCAACTGTGGGACATATTATCAGAGCCAGTAATTGCTTGTAGTTCAGGGATGAAAGTTGACTTAGGGAAAAAAAACAACAAAAGATCAGACCAAAAAATATTTATATCCTTCAAGGTCTAATCCTTTAAAAAAAATATTTTGATACAGTTGTTAGATTAAAATGTTTGAAAATATATGTCAGAAATTATTCAAATGAAAGATAGTATTCATTTGACTTAGCTAAATTCTCTTTATTGTCATTTGACTTAGCTAAATTCTCTTTATTCAAATGAAAGATAGTATTCGTTTGACTTAGCTAAATGAAAGATAGTATTCATTTGAGGAGCTTTCAATCAAGTTAACTTAGCTAAATTCTCTTTATTGTCAGTGAAAGATAGTATTCATTTGAAAACATTTATTCAAATGTTGTAATTACTGTACAAGTTTGCCATCAGCCAACACTTGATCTCTGCTTATATGTACTGGAAACATGTTACTGTTATATTGTTGAAAATGGTACCATGATTCGTCTTTCTGAAAACATGCACGAATTGATACAACATGCAACAGGACCTCCACGCACACAATGTACACAAACTGAAAATCTCACTATGTTTTATGCACAAACTGAATATGTCACTATGTTTTATGCATTGTACATAAAATTGATTTATGTTAACCAATCCTCTGAAACACATATACAGGAATATGTACATAAAAGACATTTGTGCTCCACACATACAACAAACATTGACAAACTGATAATTTGTCACATTCTCTTATACACACCATAATCTATCACATTCTCTTTTGTCGGTGTTGTCAAACTTTCCCATCATTGCATTTGCAGCAAGTGTTTGCGTCCTCATTTAGTATCTTTTTAAACCTATAAGTATGCATATAATAAATGTCCATAAGGATGTTATTCCCCAGCCTGGACCTGACCTGTATGGATGGTCCTACTGTAATCCTTAACAAAAACAATGTGCATATGCATTCGGTTGCCATTACTCATGATTAAAGAGGAAAAGAGATTCCTAATCATTCCATAATCCCACTTAAGGGCAATGCTTTCTGTTTCCATCAGTGCTCTGGCCCTGTTATCAAATGGCAGGCTTAGTAGGGTAGCATCTTGTTTGTGCCCGATCACTAGGCGACGTTTTCCCTTAGCTCACGTGTCCCTAGGAACGATAGCACGTCAGCGGTCACCTATCTCCGTTGGCGAAGGAAGGATGGTTGCTTTTGCGTGGATGATCCCTAACCAACCAAAACACGAAGTTTAACAAATTATACCGTCAAGGATGCAAAGTGTGTTAGCTGGAATCCTACAAATCACCACTGAGAAAACACTCTCAGAAGTTTTAGATATATGGAAAATTTCTTGCGTAAATCCCCACTAGTACATTGTCAAATAACCTCCGTTATCTCTTACTTCCTAGCGATGAGAATCCGGGAAAGGTTAACCCACTGTCAACTGTGATTATTCTTAACTTAGTGCCGAGATCTTAGTTTATGATATTCACTTTGGGCATAAGATTGTGTACTAATGATTGATTATCTTAGTGTTGTGCAAGTGCGAAGCTACGAACGGACCAGTTTTGAGTTTCCATGTCAAGCACACGATTGGAATTGGTATATATCAACCGTTCGTTCGATGTATTTTGTTCATGGCATTGATTGTAATAGACTTTGTTGGTTAAGATCTTCTATATGAAATTGACTGTAATATACTTTGCGACTAGAAATGGATTATACTTTATATTGGGAATACCATGACATTTACTTTATATTTGTTTTGGTTCTTTCCTTGACCTTTCTTTTTACAAATATTATGTGTGAGAAATGTTGTTATTTAATTAGTGGAATTGTGGTTGTGCTTCTACTTGTTAATATTTACAAATTCGATGTTGATGACCACTCATTTTTTAGTGGAATTGTGGTTGTGCTTCTACTTGTTAATATTTACAAATTCGATGTTGATGACCACTCATTTTTTGTATTATGAAATTGCCAATTTTTTTTAAAATACATGTTTATTAACCTATTACTTCCCAATATATGAATAATACTAATTTTGAATAATTATGCTTGAGATGCATAATTGTCTAAAGCTTATTCAGAATCATCTTTCTTCACCTGAGGTTATGAATAACTTGCAAGTTCAAAACCATGTAAAAGATTATACGCAAATTAGGGTCATCGTAAATTTGACTAAATTTTCTTGAGTTAAGATTGTGCAAACGTGTTCGGTAATTTGTAAATTTTTTAAAAATATGATAGAATCACAATTTAATTTAAATATTTTTTGTAAATTATTTAAAATCTAAATCTAATTCCAAAAAGTATGAATTAAAATTATGTTCTAATAATTTTCTTCCTCTTTTTACTCAGAAAGGTAACCAAACAAGGGAAATGACTTTCTTATGAATTTTGTTCTAACTTTCCTTACAATATTCTTTCTAACTAAACAATAAAAAGAATATTAGTTTCTTTTCCTTTCTTTTTACATTCTCTTTCCTTTTCTTTTCTCTCCCTTTCTCTCAAACCAAACATAGCCTTAGTGGGAAAGTCTAAGGATACTCGCGAATGTTAGACCCGGGAATGGTTGGGTTTAGGATTAGGTTTGGAAATGGGGTGCTTTCCGGGTAAAAGACAGAACTCCTCTTCTTACAAATAGTGGCCCGATGTGAGAACCTTCAAGCTGTCCTTTATTCTTAGGATATATATTTCATCCAAAACTTTGGAAAGAAAAAAAGTTAAATAGCACTTAAATATCTAATAATTGTACTCCTTTGGCACTTATATATTCCCATCCATATTTCATAGCATTTATATACTCTTAATTGGTCAATTTTAGCACGTTAATACCTTATATTTTGCAAACTTATGTGAAAATTTTCATCTGAGAGTTCCCAATAACATTCATATGTTAATTTTAGAGCTGCTTAATTAATCATTAATATTTATTAAAGTGTCAATTTTGATCAACTCAAGGTATATAAATGCTATAACATACAACTGAGGATATACAAGCACTTAGGGAGTGAAACTATAAGGTATTTAAGTGTCACTTAGCCAAAGAAAAAATAGTAGAAATAATGTATTAGTTTAGGACTGAGGATGTGCCAAAATGAGGAATGAACTCTTTCTTTACAACTAATCATTATATTAGGCAAGGTATTGGTTTTGGCAGGATGAGACATTTGCATTATTAATTTGCTAATAATTGCTTGATTAGACCTATATATCTTGTATGGGGACGATGAGTTGTTCAATATGGGTTGTTTCAAATCTTATGTAGTTGAAACTATCTATCTTATACAAATACCAAACATATATATAAGTTGTGTGTCTGAGTACGACATCTTACCTACTTTCTCAAAAGATTTATTTAGGCAGGATGAGTCATTATATTATGGGTTGTTTCCCTCGTTGTTTTGTTACTAAAACTTGAACAAAAAATTCCATGAAATAGTGAAGCTAGCTGAAGCAAAAATACAAGGATATAAGATTAATTTAACAAATTATTAGTAACAAGCAAAATACAAAATTAGGAGTCAAAATACATAGATACTCCTAAGAAGTAAAAGAAATTAAACAGCTAGAAGTATATGATAAATTTAGACCACGTTTGATTTTACCATATAAAATGCATTTAAAAATTAGTTACTCTTTTGATAGCGAAAAAATCCAGTTGCTATATTTATGAAGAATTATAAAGTGTGAATAAAGACGAATTCTACCTCACTTTCCCATAGAGCAGATGAGCAAAGAATCATGAATGCTACTTAAATTCAAGCTATCTGCACTATCTTTATTCATCTGGAATATTCAATAGGATTACAGAACTACGTCACTCTCTCCTGACCTCCATGACACTGATCTTACTCTTGATTATAGAGGTCAATGTAAAAAAATTTATTTTAATCCC